ACCGCCCACCATTTCGTCCATCTTCACCCGTCTTTTCGGCTCCTTCGCCGGCCCAAATCCCGCCGCCATGTCCGCCGCAAAGACCCGTGCTCAGTCCCTCATTAACGACAACGCTGTCGTCGTTTTCTCCAAGTCATACTGCCCCTACTGTGACTCTTCCAAGAAGCTGCTCGACAGCTTGGATACCAAGTACACTGCTCTCGAGCTGGATTTGGAGGGTGAGTCTTTCTCTTTTGCATTTTGCATTGCTTCTTGTATTCTTCTCAAGAAGAATAGTTTTAGCATTACATGTTTATCTCTCTTTACAAGAACAACCGCTGATATAATTTTATCACAGAGGAGGGAGCTGCTATCCAGAGCGCTCTCGCCGAGATCTCAGGCCAGCGCACCGTGCCCAACATTTTCATCAACAAGAAGCACATCGGCGGCAACTCCGACCTCCAGGGTAAGAAGGACCTGAAGGAGCTGCTCAAGGCCGCTGGCGCGATCTAAGCGGTGATTTCACACAAGCAAGAATCTTTTGAGCCCCGAATCATGAATATAAACTACATAAAGAGATAGTTTCTTATTGCACAGCCTTAGACCTTCTATTTACCATTTAGAAGTTTCTTAGTTCTAGTAGACATATGTAATGGAGATAAATATTTCGATGGCTTGGGATTGGAGGGATCGAGAGAGTCCTGCCATCTCCCAACGCTAAATATGTATTGAGTGGAGCATTGCTATACAGCTCTGGAATTTTTTGTAGAGCCGACATGAGGTAAAAAAGTGAACAGCGACTAACTAAAGTACAGGTATGTTGATACAAACAAACAAAACCAAAACCATGGCCCAAGAAAATAAATCAGATAACCTTCTGTACAACGGTGCCAAGGGGCCTTTCAACAATCGACATCAACCCTTCAACAATACTCGTCCGGGCCCCCTCACTCGCAACAGTCTTGCCAGCCAAATAATTCAACCAAACAAGCCGACTAATCCGCTCATCGGCAACGCGCCCCATCCACTTAACTGGCTTATCAGCCCCAGGCTGGAAAAGCGCATCCAAAGCGCCGTGCGCATCACGCATCAAAACAAGCGTCTGTCCCTTGGGCACCGACTTCCCCTTCCCAGCACCAAAAACAGCCTTGAAATCATTCATCGAGCTTCCAAAGCTCTCATCCTGGAACTCGCCCGGCTCCGCACCCTTCTTCGCCTGCGCGCGCGCAGTAATACCACGTACCCAGCCGTCGCGCAGATGCATAAAGTCCGTGTTACGGGTGGGCACGATGCGGAATGCAGTGCGAATACCGTTATCCTTGATTATAGCAGACCAGGCTGCGTCACCGCGCTCCGCGTCAAGGAGAAGTTCCTTGAGCTGCTGGCGCTCTGGCGAGACGAGGGATGTAGCGGCGTTTGCGCCGACGCCGGAGATAGCAGCGTCGGCATCGGCGCCGGGAGTGGGTGGGTGGATTGCTGTGCGCAGGAGGCGTCGTTGGAGCTCGGTTATGTCGGATTTAGCGATGTATAGGCCGACCACGTAGACTTGGACTGAGAGGAAGGAGACGGTGCGGATGCCGAGGCCTAGTAGTTGGTATTCTTCGCCGGTGGACGGGGCTAGATCGTCGCCGGTTTGCTTGCCTTCTGTTGCTTCGGATGTGGGGAGTCGGATTGTGCTTGGGAAGTGGGGGATTGTGCTTGTTCCTGTTGGCACTTGTTCGAGTCCGTCTTGGCCTTGAATTGTTATTAATGAAGGGCCACCGCTGGGGAAACCGACTGGTCCGTCCATGCGCATTGCGCCGTTCTTTGGGGGTGCAGTTGTGGTCTTGTCATCTTTGTTGGTGTCTAGTTCGTTGAGGCCGAATAGGTCTAGCTTGATGACGCCGTAGAGACCGGCTGCACAGGTAATTATGCCAGCTGCGGAGAGGATCATCTTTCGCTGAGCTTGGGAGGCGTGTTGGAGATCTGCCGCTGCGGATGCTCGGGAGCGGAGGGGGTTGTTGGTTGCATTGGAGCGGAGGGAGGTGGTGGAGAGATGCCGGGAGGAGAGGCGTGTTTTGCGGAGTTGTTGCCGGGTGAGGCTTTGGCAGGCCCGCCATGGGTTTTGACGGAGGGTGGAGGCCATTTTGAGCTTGGTTCGTTTGATGAGGAATCTCGAGGGCAGGATTGGCGGGTGATGGAGATGGAGTGTGGGGATTCACGTGATATGACATGATCTACATAATATCGTCATGTATCAACAGGGGATTTTGATAGAACTATAGATGCTGCTTTTTATTATTAACTAGAATGGCTTAAAGTTGGCACAGCTTGATGGTGGTCAGCCTAATGACCAATCCTCTATAGAGAAAGGCTGTATATGCGGAATGAGACCTTGATATTCCATTGACGATGTCCGATGCTTGGTTAATATCTATCGGACAGCAACTTTGTGAGAGCCACCGGTGAATTTAACAGTTGCAGTACCATCCACATAAGCCACTCCTCTCATCAACTGGTCACCATCAATGGTAATCGAAGGCTTCTTCGACGCAGTGACATAGGGCAAAGTGACATTCCCAACAGTACCCTTTGGCACCGAGAAAGTCAACACATATCCACTCGAGTCTAAGACCCAAGATGCTTGAAATTTCCCAAGAGAGGTGACAAATCCAGCCTCGGCGAATTCCAGATCTCCAAATTGCGGCGCAATTTTCCACGTCAATCCTAGTGGCGAGACCACAGAGAGACCTACAACATACTCCGTCAACGCAGAAGTCGGACCAGAGGACCAGCCATGTGCATGTGAGACATATGACGGATCATAGCCATACCCACGGTCCATCCGATACCCAAAAGTCCCGTTTTTTAGATAGCCCTCAATCACAGTGCTCTCTGTACCATTCGGGTTGTTGATATACCAACCCCAGCTGCGACGAATCAGCTCCAGTGCGCGTGCAGGCTCGTGGGAAATGAAGTGACTTTGGATCTCGAAAGAGGATATAAAAGAGGCAATGTTTTCTGGCAACTCAGGAGCTACGGCTCCTATGGGGGTCCAGTTCTTGAGGAGATTTTCTGAAATACTGGCTGTGCGCTCTTCGTTTACAATACCGAACATAATTGCCATGCTGTTAGCATCTTGTGGATGTAGAGAAGTCTCGGTTGCGTTGTCCTTGAATGCACCGTACGACTCGTCCCAGCAATAGGTGTTGATTGCTTTCTTGAGATTGGCGGCCTGGGAGTTCCATTTGCTTGAGAGATTGGTCGAGTCTCCAGCCCACAAAGAAAGAGATGCTCCTGTTTGTAGGGTGTGATATAGACTAGAATGTGTTAGCTAAAAAGACATTTGTAGAATGGATTAGCAACATACATCATCTGTGCTTCCGAGTTATTATAACCTTGCTGCCATCTCGCCCAGTCTCGCGTGCCTGTTACATTCAAAAGCCCGCTGGGGTAGGTCACCTTTCCATATATATATTCCATGGCATGCTGATAACTGGCCCAATTCTCCAACAGGAAGTCTGTATCATTGGTATAAAGCACATATTTATATGTGCCAATCATAGACCACATATGATATGTGTCCGAGTCCTTCTGACTCAATGGTGGCCCAGACTCATCAAATGCGCCTGTTGTTTTGTTCTATAATTTTCAGAACGGTCAGATCTATATCCAAAGAGAACAAACAAGAGAACTCACTTGCGTATTGTACATAACCTGCAAAGCGTTTTTTACACTTCCCAAGTCTCCTAGACTCACAAAAGCAGAAGGAACAGCAATGCCCATGTCACCAGGCCAAACCGCACGATCTCGCTTTGCACCATCAACAATGATTGTATCTCCCGGTCCAAGAGTCCCATTGTTTACCCATCCAGATGTAATACCCTTTGTAACACGACCAGTATTCACAGGGACCTCATTCGTCTGCAGAGTATATGCACCGCTATACCAGATGCGGTTCAAAAGCTCATCACTGCAGTGAAAATACCCCTGATAAGCTCGGAGATTCGACCAAGTGGGCTTAAACGCAAGCTCTAAGCTCAAATCATTGATCTGAACAATGGCCGGATCATCTGTGACCAAGAAGACTGTCAAGTACCGGAATCCACCCCGCAGGTATTTATCCGGCATGATATATGTGCCCTTTCCAGTTGATGAAATATTTGCATACAAAGCGCCATCATGATATAGAGCGCTTGATGAGTCCGACCACTCTCCAATCCAATTTTTAGCTTCTGTAAACGCCAGCCCTAGAGCTCCGTTGCCGGTGGAGGTGTAGTCTAGATGAATGATGCCACCCACTTCAATGCCGAAGTCATATACAATAAGGGAGCCGTTGCCGTGTAATTTTGCTTTGTATGGATGTAAGGAGTCTGTAACAGCATTGGTTTTCAACTCTGGTAAAGTTGAGACTGGCCGTACTGTTCGCGATGCTGGTGCGTATATGTTATTTTCCCATGGTCCGCTGAATGCAGTGTCTATAGGTCCAGAGCAAGTGGTATCACGCCAGCAAGTGTCTGCAACAGATATCGAGAATAGAGACCAAAGAATCAATACCACACTGTGCCAGTATAGTTGTGCCATTGGTGGTTGGGTGGAAAGAGAGATATCCGAATATCGTAGCAAAATGCCAAAAAAATATATAAAAATAAAATTCAGAGAACATCACAGATGTTGATGGTCAAGTTGTGCAATATCGAAAATTGGGAAGCTTTATCGCTGCATATTCGCGATTGGTGGAAGAATCATGGCAAATGGTGTTGATGTCTGCAGGATCTGAGCAAGGATCGGCATAACAAGCACTCAGAAGGCTTCAGAATTGACGTTTTACTGCATATTCCATGCAACCTAGTCATTTCCCCGCAGTTGATTTTCTCCACAATGTCATGTCGTGATGTCCACTCGGTGTAAAGACCACCGAGTGTAACATGCAAAATTCAAGCGATTATAGAGTGCTTTAAGCAGGGGAATATAAGACATTGCTCTTTACTAGAAAGATGAAAAGTTGAACAGTGAAGTCTAATTATTGAGTCGAGGTCACCATGCGACTATTCGACATTCCTTCCCTGGGCCTACCGTTAGGGCTGGCGCTGTCAACTGTTGTACATGCAAATGGAGAACGCAGCTTAAATGTTTGCACTGTTAAATCCAATGGGAACCAAAGAGATGATGTTCCTAATATCCTAGAAGCCTTCCATCAGTGTGGCAATGGTGGTACGATTATCTTTCCAGAGGACCAAGCCTACTGGATCGGTACTCGGTTAAATCCCGTTGTGAAAAATGTAGTTATTGAATGGCGCGGAAAATGGACCGTACGTGTGCTGTTACTAGAGCCAATGATAACGCAACTAATATGAGCTAGTTCTCTGACGATTTGGATTACTGGCGCAATAATTCATACCCAGTTGCTTTTCAAAACCATGCCGCTGGTTTCATTATCACGGGTCACAATATCACGATTGATGGATATGGCACTGGTGGTATCGATGGCAATGGGAACGTGTGGTACACGGCCGAGAAAGGCGACACACAGCCCGGCAGACCGATGCCTTTTGTATTTTGGAATGTATCCGATGTCAGTGTCGAAAATTTCTACATCAAAGATCCCCAGTTGTGGAGCATAAATATCATGAACGGAACCAACATGCGCTTCGATAACATCTACTGTAATGCGACTGCGGTAGATGCACCATACGGCGAGAATTGGGTCCAGAATACAGACGGATTTGGTACGTAAATCACATCAGTTTCCTCGCAGCCGACTAACACTGTGGATAGACACAATGGATGCGCAGAATATCCAACTCAGCAATTTTGTCTACCAAGGCGGTGATGACTGTGTGGCCATCAAACCGCGATCGTATGATATCGATATACACAATGTCACCTGTCGTGGTGGAAATGGAATTGCTATAGGCAGTCTGGGCCAATATCAGGAAGACTCCAGCGTCGCTAATATCCGCATCGATGAAGTCAAGGTAATCCGATACAACGAGGACATGCACAACAGCGCATATATCAAAACGTGGGTCGGCGCACTTGTACCACAGAGCTCGTATGAGAGTGCTGGACTCGCTCGCGGCGGTGGCTGGGGCAGCATTCGGAATGTGTTGCTCTCAAACTTTGAAGTCCATGGAGCCAACAGCGGACCTGCTATCACGCAGGATAGTGGAAATAATGGCTCGTATTCGGGCACGAGTTTGATGAGTATTTCCAATGTGGCATTTGTAAATTTCACGGGTTATATTGAAAGCACTTCGATGAAGGTGGCATCTGTTTCATGTTCAAATGTGCATCCGTGCTACAATATCGATTTCGATAACGTGGTGCTATATCCACAGGAGAATGCGACGACGCCAGGCGTTGGGTCGTGCAAGTATATAATGGAAGGAGGGGTACATGGGCTCGATGGATGCTAAACATCCTTCACACCAGACATATAAGCAAGCAAGAAATGAGACATGAAAGCCAAAACAAACGTTATCCAGGTGCTATACATTAAAAACCCACTAAATGGATCGGATTTTCGAGGTTCTACGTTATAAACAAAAACATAAGACAAATTATGCTCAAGGATAAATCGGACCATAAAGGCTAAGCCCCGCAGCCCCACCTGGGCATTCCTGTATGACGTTCTACCCAGACGTTCCCAAGGTTTATTTTTGTTTGTTTTATCTTCTTTTGACCTTATTTCCACCTCATTGATTGTCTATGACCAAGCTGTAATGTCAGAGGAAACAATTCGATCTGCCTTTGAAGGCCGTGAGCGCCCACTTCTTTCCTATGGCATCGCCTTTCCCGCGGCTACAGCACGCCATCTCAATGACACATTCCAGGCTTCCCGTGTGTATGTGATCTGCTCAGGCTCATTAGCACGAAATACAGATGCAATGAATCAGATGGAGACTGCTCTGGGGCCGGACAAGCTGGTTGGTCATTGGATCGGTATGCGGAGCCACACTTTGTGGTCAGAGGTGCTGCAGATTGCCGAAGAGGTTAGGACAGTGCATGCTGATCTGCTCTTGACCGTTGGAGCTGGTAGCTTGACTGATGGTGCCAAGATCATTGCATTAGTTGGTATACCTTTTTCTTTCATACTTAATCCATGTTTTGTTTCTCTCTAGATTATTATTATTACCTCTTTTATTCTCCTCTGGGAGATCATATATATTTAGACTCTAAGCCTAACATCTCCCTCAGATCCTTGCAAATGAAGTCAGCACACCGGAAGAGCTTGAAACCCTTGCAGAAGGTCCCAGAAAGCGACTAGAAATCAAAGCATCGACTCTCCCGATCATTTCCGTGCCAACATCCCTCTCCGCCGGCGAATACTCCAACTTTGCAGGCGGCACGGAGGACCGCTCAAAGCGTAAATACAGCTTCCAACATCCAACTCGTGGACCCGAGCTAGTTATTCTCGACCCGGAGCTGGCGAAAACGACTCCCGATTCAATATGGCTCAGTACAGGTGTGCGCGCAATTGATCATTGTATTGAAAATCTGTGTTCAACGTCAGGAACGACCACGACATCAGACAAAATGGCTCTGAGTGCGCTGGGATTGTTGGTCCCTGGTCTCTTGCGCTGTAAGAAGGACAGATCAGACCGTGATGCGCACCTACAGTGCCAACTTGGATCAGTGGATGCTATGGCAGCCTGTACTAGCGGGTCAATTGAATTAGGTGCTAGTCATGGGATTGGACATCAGGTATATGATTGATTTCCCTTCTTCGCCTTCTATGGCATCTACACGTCCACCAATGGCTCTGACTAACAGTTCTCTAGCTTGGCCCACTAGGTGTCGGCCACGGTGAGACCAGTTGTATCTTGCTCCCCGCCGTGTGTAAGTTCAATGCTAAATACAACGCCAACCGCGAAAAACAAGCTAGCGTGCGTCAATTTCTAATTCAAGATTCGGTCGTTTCGGAGGTGCTACGTGCCCGCTCGGTCAACGTGGAGGCATCTGACCTGGGTGACATTTTGGATGCTATCATCCGCGAATTGGGTATGCCTCGGTCCTTGAGTGATGTCAAAGTAGGGCGGGACCAATTTGATGGACTGGCGGAGAATAGTCTACATGACCGGTGGTGCAAGACAAACCCAGTACCACTGAAAGAGAAGTCTCAGGTATTGGAGATTTTGGAGATGGTAGTTTAAACGTTCAGAGGTATAAGACAAACATATGATTTAATCCCATACGCTTTCACAATCAGACCATTTCAATAATCACAGCCTCCCGAGCTTTCAAATAACCCCCCGAGATGGTAATTCTCATTCGCCAAAGCCATGTTCCGTCCACACCTCCACAATGTCCTCTATGCAAGGAAAATCCCTAATATAGCAGCTTCATAGTTAGCATTATACTTGTATAAGCAGCATCTACACCCGCTTAATGACAATTGATAAACGCGCAACTGAACTAAACTAAACCGTAAGCCGCCCCATTAGATAGTCTATATATCCTTTTCGAGAAGTCTATATAGGAGTAAGGTAGGCAGGGCTAATCTTATTATGGTCTGCTTCACCATTATTCGTGGAACAAAGTCCGAGAGTACCTTGTAATTAGCATGCATATACTTCGATATTCATTCAAATTTTGTCCAAGTCTCTAATTTCCAATTTCCAATTAGTTTTGGTGGTGGTAACGCTTTATATATCTACACCAGAGACATGTGAACATGCTGACCACCTGGGTACCTCTACCCCCAAATGTAATATACAACATGTCCTTCATCCCACAGTCTTGAACTAAAATGACAATTGAATATCTTTTAGGAGCCTCCCCCAATTGATTGATAAGCATGACCCCCACACTTGAGCACCCCACATTTCAGGTTAGACATACAAGTTCGCGCCATCTCGTAAGGCTAGACTGTCGACCACTTCTTTAGTTCTCACAGCAAAATTCTACAACCATGTCTCTCGCTAAGAACATCCTCCTATTCGGCGCAACGGGTAACATTGGCTCATTCATCCTAGACGCTATCCTGCCCGAGCGTTCTCAATTTGGCCGCATCGCCATCTTCACTTCCCCGCACACAGCGGAAACCAAAGTTTCACAGCTGAACAAGCTGAAAGAAGGCGTAGAAGTAATTGTGGGCAATGTCGAAGATGAGAATGCCGTGAAAGCAGCATACAAAGGTACGAAACCCTTTCTTCGTACCATGATATCCATGCATAATAACTCAATGACCTTCCCCAAATACCAAGCCGCCCAAATCACCAAAGCAAAGACTAATCACTTAGACAAACAGGAATCGACACTGTGATATCAGCCCTAGGACGCAACACCCTTGCCGAACAGATCCCCCTCATCAAACTCGCAGCCGCCAGCCCCACCGTGAAATGGTTCCTGCCCTCCGAGTACGGCACAGATATCAAGTACGGGCCGGCTTCGGCGAACGAGAAGCCGCACTAGCTGAAGCTGAAAGTGCGCGCGTACCTCGAGGATGAGATCTCGCGTGACGACCTCGCCTATTCGTATGTGGTTACTGGCCCATTCGCTGAAATGTATCTTCATCTCGTGCCTGGGCTGGAGGAGGCTGGAGGGTGGGATGTCAAAGAACGGAGGGCTGTTTTGTTGGGTGAGAAGGGGAAGGGAGAGGTTAGTTTGACGACGATGAAAGAGTAAGATTCCTTTTTCATTTTGGGGGTTTTTTTTCTCGTTGGGATGGATGGGATTGTTGGCTGACTATTGCGCTAGTGTTGGAACTCTCGTCCTGAACACTCTTCTTCATGCTACGGCTGAGACGCGCAACGCTGCCCTGTGTGTTAATTCGTTTACCACGAGCCCTGACCAGATTCAGGCGGAGTTTGAGCGCCAGCTTGGTGGTCAGCCGTGGAATGTGTCTCGCACTTCGCTAGAGAAGTTGCGCAAGGCGGAGGCTGCGGCGTGGGAGGCTGGGAACCCGGCAACTACTGTGTTGACTTTGCGTCGGATTTGGGGTGAAGGCGGGACGCTGTATGCGAAGCGGGCCAACGAGTTGATTGGGGAACCGAAGGTGATGGGACTGGAGGATGTGGTTGCGAATGAGATCCAGAGGGTATCGAAGTTGTAGATAGCTTGTCTTCATTTATCTTTACATAATAGTTAGCCACATAGCCAAGGCCGATATTTGATCTACATGGACATTGCGCACACTGTGGAATCCAACGTCTAAGGCTCATGGCATTCGTACGTAGGAGCTAAGAATTAAAGAAACATGTCGGGGGTTCGGGTAACTTCAGATTTCACATGACCGAGGGGAATGATTCGGGAAATAATAAAAAGGGGAAACAGCTCTGCCGGATATAAAACAAAAGGGTTGAGCTTTATTGGAAGAACTTGCGCACTCTTTCCTGGCTGGCCGGGTCCACAGAAGCCAGGATCTGGTCTGCATTGGCACCGGTCACTGCCACCAGCTGCTTGGCGGATGTGGCCACCCGGGAAGCGGTCTGGCCCTGCAGGGTAGCCGCCTCGAGTGCCTGCACGATGAAACCGAAGACACGGTCAGCCTTGGCAAAGACAGCCGGGTTTTGCCTGGTAGTAGTATATTAGCACGAGTATGAGGAAGGGGGTTTATCAAGAAAACATACTGGTCAATCAGCTGTGCAATAAAGGAATAGGCATAAGGAGCAGCCTCCTCGTCGTAGGTAATGGGCAAAGTCTCGATCCAGTTGGCCACGACATCCTGGGGAGCCTGAACCTTAGATGGGTTGTAGTGCAGGATCTTGGCAATACTGGCAGATGCATTCTCGGTCGCGAAAACGTTCTCCTCTGTGCGGGATTGCGCATGCTGTGTAACCTGGAACAAGCTGGGGAGGCTGGCGGCCACAAAGTCGCTCCAGGCGGCACCACCCTTCTGCGCGGCCACACCCACTCCATACGCCGCTGCCTGACGGTTAGCGGCATTCTCATCTCGCAGACCGGAAGCCAAAGGCTGCATAATGTGGTCCTTGAATGCCCAGGACTCTTCGCCACAGAATTCAAGAACATCATCCATGATGCAAAGAGCCCACTGCCGTTGTGTTGGGTCTTGGCTTGTGATGAAAGCGTCGTAGAAGGGAATCAATTGCTGCCAGGTTGGCAGGAACGAGTTGCCCTGGTTCTTAAAGATGGTGTGGAATGCCTTGTTCATATCGCTCAATAGGTTTTGATCGTCCTCGACGGCGTACTCGAAGTCTAGGTTCTCCTCGTCACCATCTTCGAGCTCGGCCTGCTCCTCCAGACGTTGCTTCACGCGCATCTGGTAGTCTTCAAGGGTCGACTTCGCAGATTCAATGAACGCCTGCAAGTGCTGGGGGGTGAGAGAGTTTCTGCCAACAACCTCTACTGACTCGTAGAAGCACTGGTACATCTCAGCCAGCGTGTCAACTGTCGGCTCAGCGCTCAGAACCTCGATGATCTTCTCTGCAACCTTGTTCCACATTTCGGCGAAGCCCGGTGACTGGCCACCGTGTGCCTTCTTGTAGGAGTTCAGCAGCTGAGGAATCAGCTTAGCAGCTGATACTCGAACGGGGTCGTGGAAGAAGAAGGCAAGTCCAGGGACCGCAATCTTCTCCATGGTTTCTAGGACATAAGGCTCAAAGTTCTCCTCGAGAATTTGGGCGTAAATTGTGATCAATTCGATAGCGGTATTCTTGTCTTCAAGAGCACTGGTCTTGATACCGATAATCTTACCCTTGAGCGGCACCAGCTCCCAGCCATCATCCTGCTCAACCTGTTCGATCTGATCCTCGTCATCCAGCAGCTGAATATCGGCCTTGGCGGCAGCCACGGTTAGAAGAGGGGGCATAACACCGGGGAGATAAGGCACAAAGTCTTGGCCTAGAACGCGGCACATGCGGCCCCAGCAGTGAAGGAGGTACTGTGACTGAGGGTCGTCGGCGTCGACGATGTTTTGCTGAATGTGACCGAGAATCTGCACAAGGTTGAGAGCATCTTGACCCATCTTCTCCTTGCCAACGGCGAGTGCGATGAGAGTAGCACACTCCATCGCCTTAGCACGAAGAAGGCGATATTCCTTACCCTGCTCCTCCTTGAGGACATTGAGCAAAAGAGGCATCAGGGTAGTATAATACTGATCGAAAGCGGCCTCGGCAGAATCGGCAATGGTAGCAATGGTGGACAGCGCCTGCTCCTGCAGATAACGCTTAGGGCTGCGCAAGAGATCCAGGAGATGGCTGAGAAGGTTTCCGAGGTATGGCTCCAAGGTGCTGCGCTCAGCCTCCTCACAGAAGTTGACGAGAGCGGCGGCAGCGTGGGACTGCACACGCGGCTCGGTAGAGGCGAGAACGGGAATGATGTTAGTGAGGACAATCTCGTGGTACTTCTCCTGCATGGTACCGGCAAAGTCGGTACTCATTTGACCAAGAGCGTTGCAGCCTGCATAGCGGACTCGGGGATGGGCGTCCTGGAGGGCAGGGACAACAAGTGCAAGAACTTGGTCCAGCTCACCAACCATCAGGTCACGACAACCTTCGGAGATGGCGGAGATGGCCATCAAAGCAGCATGGCGATCGCGCCAGTTGGTAGATGACATCATGCGAGGAATCCAAGAGAATGCGGGTTGGAGGATGACCTGTCCACCCAATTTGTTGGCGAGACGATCCATGCATTGCTCACCGGCGATGTGGTTGAGGTCGTTCTCTTCAGGCTCAAGCTGTTACTAGTCAGTGGGATGTCAATTATAATGACAGAAATGCAAACACTTACATCTTCAGAGGCGTTCCATTCCTCCGCATCGTCGTCATCCGCACCGACATCAGTCATCAGACTCAGACATTGTGTGACCATTTGCTGTGCGAATTCCGGCTCCTTCTTGCACATATTCGGGGCGTAATCGGCAAAGGTGGCCATCAATTCGAGTGCGTTCTGGCGCACCTGGTCACTGAGTTCCTTGTCGCCAATGACACTGATACTGAACTTAACCAAGTTGGAGAACATAACCTTGAACATTTTCGGGCTGATTTCAGCCAATTCGATCAGGGCGAGCAGTGCCGAGGACAGCTCTTCGCTCTCAGAGGACTCCTTCAGAGGAGGAAGGATGCTGAGAAGGTCCGGCATGAGGCCGAAGAACTTAGGCTGGGACTTTTTGGAGATCGACCGGAACAACGAAGCAAAGGCTTCCATAGCGGAAATCCGCACCTGATGAAATGGTCAAAATTGAGTTTGAAGTGCATAGCCAGATGTCGACATACGGATATATTATCGTCCTTGAAACCCTTGGTAAAAACCTCCACGACAGCGTCTTCGTGCTGCTTCTCAATGATACCGGGGGTGGTCGTGAACACACGGTATGCGGTTTCCCGCAGGCCCGAGTCAGGACTTTGGCTTGCCTGGAAGAGAACACCGAGGAGTTCAGGCCACTGCTCGTCTAGAAATCACAGGCGGAAACGTCAGAACCAAGAATCCTCATTTCGTCAAGGGTATTTCAAATCGCATACCATTATCGGTGTATTGCCTAGCAACCTCAGCCAGTGTGTCTCCAATCTTCTTGCGTACATCGGTGACGGTTTCACTGGTCAAGCTGATTACCAACTTCTCACGAATGGCAATTCGCTGCTCGTTGGGGAGGCTCGAGAAAATCTCCTTGTTGTCGCCTGTGACGGGATCCTTCCGGGATTTTGTTGCGATTCTTCGGAAAAGCACAGCGGAGAAAGCACGCGTCTGTCAATAGGAGTTTCCCATTAGCTTTGATCCCAAATCACAGTGGGACTCGGCTGTTGATTCGGTCGTCGGTCGTTTGCAACACCCCTCCTTGCAAGCAACCGCACCCCTAGAGTCCAGTGCAACTTACTATTGTGTCCTCTGCACCCGCAAGCTGTTCCGCCAATCCCATCAGTAGGACGTCTGGTCGGTTCTGAACCCAGTCATTGTTGAGCTGGTCTTCCGCCTGGGATCTGACGACATTGTCGGGTGTGCTCAAGGCGCGGAGCAGCTGAGAAAGCGCGGTGTGGATTTCGGGAGGTAGGAGGGACATGTTGGGCGTGTCTGTTCCCAAATTCCAGACGATCCAAGCAACCCAGTTCTTTCAACCCTCGTAGAAGTGATTTGGTGGGGATAGAGGGGTGGAACGAAGGCGAGGAGTTTTGTTTTTGGTGGGGCGGGGAGAGAGGGAAAAAAGAAGAATTTCTGATTAGGAGAGCGATAGATGGATAGGCCCTTGGGGGTGAAGCAGAATGGAAGTGCCACTCTAATCCCACAACAAGAGGGGAGAAGATTCAATAGAGGATATCGAGGTCTTCAGATCTGATTCTTTCTCGACAAAAAATGCAAATTAGCTGCACGAATAATTCAAGTACAACTTACACAGTCCATAGTGATGATAATCGCATCTGGACGCTAAACCAAATGCGGTAATTCCAGGCCACAAGGCCATCTAAAGTCGAACAGAGATAACTATGTAAGAACTCACGCATTGTTGATCCGATCGAAGATTTGCTTGTTTTGTAAGCTACGAGGATACATATATGGAATCATCAGGTCATCAGCTCAAAGTCTATCTCGAACAATTATTTGCATTGAAGGCTAGAGGCCGCAACTGCTCACACGAACAGCGCTATCTGAACGCGACGGAATATCGATATTAGAACAAAACGGGTATGCAACACTGCAAACAGGAAAATAATCTACTACGCTTTCTCGGGGTGCTTGGTATCCAAGTTGAGAGACAAAGGGAAGTGTTTGGAGAGAAAAAGAGGGTTTCGGGAATAGACCAAAGGCCAAATATTTTTACCGGCCACTAGGGCGGCTGAGAATGAACACACCCGCAATTACAGCAGCCAATGTGACAATAGCACCGGGAAGCAGCAAGTCATTGGGGACGCCGGCAATCAATTGCTCGTCAGGCGCGTGCGATGGTACGGCTTGCTGCTGGGGCAGGGCCTTGCTCACGGGGGATTCTTGCGATGCAGACTCCTCAACAACGCTTTGCTCTTCGCTGGGAGTCACAATCTTGACATGATGGGGTTCAATCGCAGCAGGGATGGGTGGCTGGGCGGGATCGTGGACAAACAGATTGACCTTGTCGCGGTGAGTACGACGGGCCAGATCGATGGCATCCGTCATGTCTTGATC